ATACCTCCTGACGTCCCCCATCTTAATCTAGACCGACTGTGTACCCTATCTGTGCCATACAGCAACAACACTCCTTAACATAGCGGCAATAATGGGGCAACTCCATCCAATGCGTTCCCATANCGTCCTAAGAGGGTATACCTCCTGACGTCCCCCATCTTAATCTAGACCGACTGTGTACCCTATCTGTGCCATACAGCAACAACACTCCTTAACATAGCGGCAATAATGGGGCAACTCCATCCAATGCGTTCCCATATCAAACCACGCTCCCAACTCGAACCACGCCGCCGGGTGAACTGTGCTAACCCTGACTTCCAAGCACTTGACCGCTGGTGTGACTGATGACTCGCTACCTCCCTCAAGGGGCGGTGATGCACACGAAGTCCGCCGTAGGAGAGGCGGCTACCGCGGTCACTGGTGCGGGTGTAAGCTGTCCCAACCACTCCCACCACGCACGCCCCCCGTACGTTCTTTTACACACAAACGTTCACCGGAAACGACCCCAACGCGTGCCGGTTCCACACCAGTTGCCTCAGGGATTGATAGCTGTGCTCTCGGAGTATGTGTCGTGCGGTAAGGTGCATGTGTGCGTGTGCGCGCATGAAGTTTGTTTTTTTCAAACGCGGAAAAAAAATGCACCAAATGGAAAAAAAAACAGACGAGCTGGACTGCAGAAATTCGAACGAAAAAGCGCGGCGGAACCTCGAAACACGGTTATTTGGCGAAACCCGTCTTTGACGTGCGTTTTTTCCCGAGGTGGAATCCGTTATTTCGGTCTATTTACAGCTTCGGACTCAATTTTTTTCCGAAATCAGGAAAAATAGTTTGAGTTAAGCCGTCGTTCTGAGGATCGCTCCTGACAGTCTCGCCAGAACCCACAACAAGGAATAAAATACAGATTTATTTAAGAGCCGAGGGAGGCTTGGTTTGTGGATTTTTTTTCACGATTTTTTGATGTAGCAACTTTCTTCGAAGTAACACATCATCACACGCACCACCGCACGCACACACAGCAGTCTGCCGAGAACATGTCAGCGCGGCCAACGAGAAGGCCAGCGCCCAGCGAAAGGCCTTGGAGTTGGAGCGCCACCAACACAAAAACAGGGAAGCTGCACGGTCAGAAAGTCGGGTTTGTTTCCGGCTGGGTTGAGGTCAGCAACACGCCCGTCAGATTGAGGCACGGGGGAGGAAGAGCGCACGAACCTAGAGGTTGTGGCAACGCCGCCAGCAAAGAAGAAGAGCAGAGAGGAGGGAGAGCACGTAGTGGCCTCCTCCTGGTGAAGGCGGGAGCGTCCTTCCGCGCGCAAGACAAGAATATTTTCTCTGGTGTCTACTAGAAAGAAGAACGTTTGACTCGGATGTGCCTCCCGGTCCCAACCCCCCCGTCTCTCTCTCGAACGCTTGATCCCGAACGCTTGAAACGCGACATAGCACTTCGTTCAGAGGCTGTCGTCGGCCAGTGTACAGTAATCACTTCCCGTCGCCGTACTGGTGTGGTGCGATTTCGTGTGCTGGGGTTGAGGGAGCGACGCAGACACGGACCCGCGCACGCACGCACGCACGCACACTCAACAGCAGCAGCAGTGAGAGAGAGCCCGTTGTCATCAAGCAAGGTGCACAGCTGGCTGTCACGCAGCGCACCACGAAAAAACAATAGCACCTGCGGACAGGGGAAGTTCGTGGGAGGACTGTTGCCCCACAGCCAATCACATGAAGCCGCTTAAATCTGAGAAATTTCACCTGCACTAAGTTTCCAGGAAACTTTCTTATTTCCAAATCTGCTTCCTTAAACCGGAAAAAAATTGGAGCTCCAGTCCGAAACTGTGTATTAGCAGTTCCATTTTTGCTTTTTCTTTTTTTTACTTTCTTTTACTTGTCCTCTTGAGCGGAGCGGGGAAGGGCGCGCGAGAGATCTCAACCTACGGTACTGAGAGCTACCTACGGAAATAACTCCGTCTTTCATTTTTTTGCCGCAGAGGAACTCAAAATCAGCGTGCGTGCTGTTTCGTAGCATACATCGCATATTGTTTTGTCGATACATCGGCGGTGCCCACCCGGGTAGGTCTGTTCTAGACTATGCAATAACTCTGCTACATGAAGTACTACTACACAGTACAGGAAGTACTACACAGTACAGGTGTGCTCCGAAGCCCCTTACTTTGTTTTTGTGATCTGCGGTGGATGCATGTATGTATGTATGCATATATATGATGTTACCTCCGGTATGGTAGATGAATGGATGGAGAAAAATATAGAGTTGTGAATCGGAACGATGTACACGATATATATCGTCCGATATATATCGATATCGGTATCGAAAATTCGTGCCGATGTTCCGACCGATGTTTTCTTAGGGGCTCCGTGAATCAAATTTAGGGTATGCGCAGCAGTACGGAGCCCCTGTACGCCACACACACACAGCACAGCAGCGCAGAAACAGCAGACAACAGCACCATGAGTGATCATTTAATTTTTGTTCCTTCTCGTTTGCTCGTTTTTTTTCTTTTTTCGGTTGCACGTTGCATGCGCAGGTAGTAGGGAGGTAGATAAGCGCTAGTGCTGTATCCATAGTGCCGTAGTGCTGGCTACCATGTCCAGAACCAACCGGGAAGTAGACACAGGGAGAGACCGAAGGAGGGTACTGCTGAGGATACGCGACAATACATCAATCTTCCATCCGTGCGATGTTTGCAGCTGAAGTCAAGCCCTTTTTGATGCCGCATTTGGGCCCATTTTGACGGGAAATGAAAGGAAAATGCACCAAATTTTCTGCCTCCGGCGGCGCCTCCGGCGAGGCCCCCTCACCAGCCGGGGGGGGCCGATGGGGGGGCTCGCTTCGCTCGCCCCCATCACGGCTCGCTGCGCTCGCCCGTAGGCGATATATCGGAGAAAATATCGTTATATCGGCTGCTGCGCAGCCGATGTAAAATATATCGTTTTTTCGTACCGATTCACAACTCTAGAAAAATAATAATAATGGATGGAGGATGATGATGTGTCGCGGAGGCAGCAACAACAACAACAGCGTCTCCAAGCAAATAAATAACAAAATATCGGTCTCATCAAGCCTCGTGACACCTCTCTCTCTCCGCTGAGTAAAAACGTACGTTCTGTATGTAGGTGAGCACGCTGTGCGGCGACGGACGGACGTCGTGTAGCTAAGCGCCAACGCCAGGGTAGTTGTAATAATGCCACGCTGTCACTCTCTTCTCAGAGAGACCAGAGAGACCTTGAGTCGGTCGTGTTTTTCTGTAATAGTATTCCTACATAGACTATATCTAGCTATGTACGGTACTACTCAAACCCCGTGTTGCAGGAGTGTGAAATTCGGCTACAAGCACAATATATTTCCACCCTCCACTCATCATTCCTGACTTACTTGCCGACACCCTACACAGCAGCATCTATCTTCATTCTGACAAAACCCTTCAATTGAGCCCAGAGCATGCTCACAAATAAATAATGCTCAGGTTTCAGCTTTTAGACTACTGTATGTTTATTCTGTAGTGCATGTTCTTCGATAAATAAATGGCGAAAAATCACTACCGTCTTGTTGCTGTCGCGGGCGCGTGTTCTACTTGCCGTTTGCGTTTGCTTGCAACTACAGCTTGTTGGTAGACTACCACAGGCTGCGTAGTTAGCCGCCTAGACTACAGGCGGCATGTGTTACAGAGTACTTGTTCGCTTCCTTCGATACCGCCTGCCATCGGGTGCTTTCCACTCTTTGATGCGTTTTGTTGTTGATGAGAGACAGGACGTGGGTGGGTTCGGTTCCTAGCTGGCACACACACCCTTGGGGCACCATTAATTCTTTACCAACAGCATGACGAAGGGTCCGGCCCCGGAGATCACTTTTCCAACCAGGAGTCCAAGAGCCCGAGCATAGAAAATGTATGCCACGAATGATGGTGGACTGACTGACTGGTCTGTCTGGTGTCTGTCGGTGCGTGTACCGTATTCCTTACTTCCGAGACAACTCTATTTCGTGTTCAAGTCCTCTTATTTGTTCGAGTGAACTACTACTGCTTTTGTAGATATACTTGTACCTACTGTAAATATAGTACTGATTGCATGTAGTACGGCTGTGTTGCGGAGGAAGATATTCCCGGGTTGGATGATGCGTAGATTATCGATGAGGTTGCCAGACACTCGACACCGTGGTTGATGAATGAAAGACAGGCACCGTTAAGAACGCCCCTCAACGAGCGGCTGATAAATGTAAACGTTAAGAACGCCCGGCCACCGTTGGATTCTTCCCCATTACTCTTTGTGTGGGTAGGTTGAACAGTTGCCTCTTGAGATCCTCTGCTCTTCGTTAGTTCTTGTCCGTCGTTGCCTGATCTCTGTGCGCTGTTACTCACATCCAACTGTAGCAAAGTGCTACCACTTCGAAGTACAGTATATATAGTAGGTGAGCAGGAACCGGAGGATCGAGGTGCCAACGATATTGTGTGAGGCTTGGTCGAGCCCCTTTCCAGGGTGTTGTTCGTGCGTGGAGGTAGATTAGTCGGATTGTACCAAATCACTGGCGGTTTCGTGTACCGCAGATGGGANCTGGCACTCTTCCTCCCTCCTTCTCCCTCATGTCCCCCTACGATAATACATGCCGCTAACAACACTTTTTGACTCTGGAGGTCACACAACAAGGGCATTCCACCTTCTAGAAATGCACCCTCCGGAGGAGCCCGATGATCTTCAGAGTTCAGCTGTGGTGAGAAGCAGCAGCAGGAGCGTTGTGCGTGATCCCGTGGTAAGGACATTACTGAGTGACACGACGC